CCCCTCCATTCTCCTCTTGGAATCTTGGGCACGCACGCACACGCGCCCGGCGTGAGTTTTAAGCCACCGGGTCCGGGACTTGACCCGCGGTCGACTACGTGGGAGTCCAGTGCCATAGCCATTACGCTAACTGCTGGTCCTAAAGTAGTGAAATTATTAAATAAATTATTATTATTAAATAAATAATTATTACAAATAAATAAGTAAAAATAAATAAATGTTTACCCAAAAAATAGAAGTCTGGCTAGTGTATCAGGGTTCTCATCTCACTCAGTGAGCAAACCCATGTATTCTAACCTTGGGCCTGGGGCCCAGCATTCAGATATTCCCTGCTCAAGGGATGAACAGGAAAGGACCCAGGTCTGGGAGGGCAAAAGGGAAGCTTCTTGGTCTTCAGGGGCCACCAGAGGGCACCCTTGTCTACTTCTTTGCATTTTCAGATACATGCTCTTTGCCTTTCCTAGACACTCTGTTCAATCTTTTTTTTTTTAAGAATTATTTAATTGTGAGGCTGGCAAGTGGTGTGGCGGCTAAGGGCGCTGGCCTCTCACATCGCCAACCACGGTTTGAGTCCTGGACCTGGCAGCTTGCTTTCTCACTTTCTCTCTTTCTGTCCCTCTCGGGCCAAGTTAAAATTTAAAAAATGCTTAAAGTTAAATAAAATAATTTTTTGTTTTGTTTGTTTGTTTGTTTGTTTTTGGAGACGTTTTTACTATAGGGCGCGTGCGCTCGCCAGAAAGACACAGACAGACAGAAAGCAAGAAATCACTCCCCAGGGGGGATGGCCACACTGCAGTCCCTTCTCCATTCTCCTCTCAGGATCTTGGGCATGCACGCACACACGCCCAGTGTGAGTTTAAGCCACCAGGTCCGGGACTTGAACCACGGTCAGCTACATGTCAGTTCAATGACATAGCCATTATGCTAACTGCTGGTTCCAGTAAAATAATTTTTAAGAAATAATTACTTAATTGTATTTATTATTGTTATTTCTAAAAATTTTGTGTAGGGACATGTGCTCACCAGAGAGAGACAGAGAGAAAGAAAGTGAGAGAGCAAGCTGGCAGGTCCAGGACTCAAACCACAGTCAGCCGTGTGGGAATACAGCATCTTAACCACTACGTCACCTGCTGGTCCCCCAATAATTTCTTTTCTTTTATTTTTTTAGAAGACTTTCGATTTTTAAAAAATAATTATTTTATTTAACTTTATTTTATTTATTTTAACTTGACCAGAGAGGTACAGAGTGAAAGTAAGTAAACGAGCTGCCAGGTTTGGGACTTGAACCTTGGTCGGCCATGTGGGAGTCTAGCGCTCTTAAGTACCCCACTACCTGCCAGCCCCGCAGTAATTTCTTTTTTCTTTTTTTTGAGTTTTTTGCTGTAGGGCGCATGTGCCACAATCCCTTCTCCTCCATTCTCCTCTCGGGATTTTGGGCATGCATGCACACATGCCCAGTGTGAGTTTAAGCCACCATGTCCAGGACTCAAACCGCAGTTGACTACATGGGAGTCCATGACATAGCCATTACACCAACTGCTGGTCCCTCCCCAAGTAATTTCTTCTTTTTTTTGAAGAATTATTTATTGGGGACCAGCAGGTGGCGTGGTGGTTAAGGCGCTGGACACTCCCACATGGCCGACCGCGGTTCAAGTCCCGTATCTGATGGCTTGCTTTCCCTCTGCTCGCACGCGCTCTCTCTCTCTCTGGTCAAATTAAAATAAGTGAATAAATAAAATTGAATAAATAATTCTAAAAAAAAATGACTAGGACTATTTAGCAAGAAAATATTATAAAAAGTTATTTATTCAATTTTACTTATTCATTAATTTTATTTTAATTTGACTAGAGAGAGAGCAGAGGGAAAGTGGGAAAGCAAGCTACCAGATCCAGGACTTGAACCGTGGTCTGGCATGTGGAAGTGTCCAGCACCTTAACCACCACGCCACCTGCTGGTTACCCCCCCCCCAGTAATTTGTTATATGCCAGAATGTTCAGTTGGAGGTTCACCAGAGGTGCAAATGGTTAGTTTTTAGGAAACACTCAAAAGGAAGAATTGAAGAATATCTTGTGTAGAAGAGGCACAGCTGAGGAAAAAAGGCTTGGTAGAGAGAGAGAAGGGACGAGTCTGAGACAGTAAATCTTAGCTTTACTGAGGGCTGTGTGTTGAGGGTCATAGGAAGGAAAGATGGCAGCAGGCAGTAAACTGGCTGAAGTTAGGAGTCACTGAGTACCTGGTTGACTGGACTACATAAAGCATTTCTCCAGTGCTGAGCTGGGGTTACAAGACAAAGGTATGGGGAACCAGCAGTTAGCGTAATGGCTATGTCGCTGGACTCCCACGTAGTCAACCGCGGTTCGTGTCCCGGACCCGGTGGCTTAAAACTCACGCCGGGCGCGTGTGCGTGCGTGTCCAAGATCCCGGGAGGAGAATGGAGGAGAAGGGATTGCGGCGTGACCATCCCCCCGGGGGGTGATTTCTCGCTTTCTGTCTCTATGTCTCTCTCTGTCTGTCTGGCGAGCGCACGCGCCCTATAGTGAAAAAAAACCCTCTCAAAAAAAACCAAACAAACAAACAAACAAACAAAAAAAAACAAAGGTATGTCCAGATGAGGCTGGCCCCTTCCAAGTGCTTCCTGTGGGAAGCCATGTATTATAGAACCATTGCATTTGTTCATGACCTGTTTGGAACCCCATCTTTTTTTTTTTTTGAGAGGTTTTCGCTATAGGGCGCGTGCGCTCGCCAGACAGAGACAGAGACAGAAAGCGAGAAATCACCCCCCAGAGGGGATGGTCATGCCGCAATCCCTTCTCCTCCATTCTCCTCTCAGGATCTTGGGCACGCACGCACACGTGCCCGGCGTGAGTTTTAAGCCACCGAGTCCGGGACGCGAACCACGGTTGACTATGTGGGAGTCCAGCGACGTAGCCATTAAGCTAACTACTGGTTCCCTGGAACCCCATCTTGAGACTGGCCTTCAGAGCCCATGGCATATTCTGTGGTTGCCCTCATTGGTAGTATGCCTTGTGCCTTTTTTTTTTTTTTTTAAAGGTTTTTGCCCTAGGGTGAAGTCTCCCTCCAGGGAGGTG